AAAACTGTATTTAAATCAGATATTTTATTTATTTTACAGATATTTGCAGTTTGAAAGAAGAATTATTTAATACCAGGGAGTGAAAATAAGTTTTATTGTAAAGACTTTTGGCTGTTTAGTTAATAAAAATGAAATCACAGCTTAAAGCTGAACGGCCTAAAACAGAGCTCACATGAACAATCTATCTCAGCTAAAGTTTAATTAGTCTGAAGATGTTTCTGATGTTTAAAAGAAAAATTCTTATTAATTAATGTTAATTGTATGAATATTAATAATATTATGAATAACTGAACTCTTATTTACAGACGTTTCTAGTTTCGGTACATTCACACTAATCCTCAGTGAAGCAGCAGAACATGGTTTTATTCACACACTGCTGCTGACGTGATGCTTCTACTGGACTTAAATCAGTAAAACATGGAGTTCAGAACAAAGACCTGCAGATATGTGAGATAAAATCTGCTCATTTTGGACGGAACCATGTCAATACTTTAACTCTTATTTTCTCTGTTTTCTTAAACTCCAGATAAAGTCCAGTGAAACCAGAACCTCGTGTTCATCCACACGCCGTCTCTCTGTGTTTCAGGACCACCGACCTTCAGGCCTACAGCAGAAGTTCTCAGAAGAACCTGCAGCAGCAGCAGAACCAGAACCAGAACCGAGCTGAGCCCACAGGGACGCGTTCAGCTCTTTAAAATCTGCTTTTCACAGTAAAACGCCTCCAGACTGTGAGGAGACGACAGGACGAGTGAAAAGCAAAGAAAAACCACGACTCACCTGGAAACTGGTTGAAGCCACAACATGAGAGTGAACCGAGAGTCAGCGGCTCTGATGAGCTCAACAGGGTCCAGCTGGGGCGCTGCAGGGGCTCATGGGAAATGGAGTCCCAACCACATACACCTATAAAGGCCTTTGTGGTCCTGAAGCCTCCACATGTGGCTGCTGCCGGTTCGTGTCTCTCTGGGTCTCAAGTTGTGTCATTCCTGTTGTTTTGTGTCTCATTTGTGTTGTTTTGTCTAATTTTTGTAGTTGTGTGTCTCATTTTCATCATTTTTTTGTCCTAATTGGTCTCATTTTAGTTTTGATTTTCAGCTTGGGGTCTTGTTTTGGTCGTTTTATGTCCCAGTTTGTCGTATTTGTGTCTTAAGTTGTGTCGTTCTCGTCCTTTTCTCTTATTTTGTCTAATTTTTTTTTTTTTATAGTTTTGTGTCCTAATTAGTCATTTTTTTTTGGTATTTTGTCTCATTTTCGTGATTTTGTCTCTTAATTTGTCTAATTGTCGTACTTGTCTCAGTTTGTCTTATTTTTTTTCCATTTTGGGTCTTAAGTTGTGTCATTTTTATCATCTTCTGTCTCATTTTTATAGTTTTGTGTCCTAATTGATCAGATTTTTATAGCTTGTCTTGTTTTTGTCATTTTGGGTTGAAGTTGTTTCATTTTTGTCATTTTGTCTCCAAATTTGTCTAATTTTAATTTGTTTTTGTTTGTTTTTTTTAGCTTTGTGTCTTTTTTTGGTCATTTTATAGAATAGAATCATTTTTATTTATTATTATTGATTTATATGTCTCAGTTTGTCTTATTTTTGTCATTTTGGGTTGAAGTTGTGTCATTCTTGTCCTTTTGTCTCTTAATTTGTCTAATTTTTTTATAGTTGTGTGTCCTAATTTGTCTCATTGTTGTTGCTTTGTGTCTTGTTTTGGTCATTTTCTGTCTGTCTTGTTTTTTCCATTTTGGGTCTTCAGTTGTGTCATTTTTGTTGTTCTGTGTTGTAATTTTTTGTATTTTGTGTCTCAACTTTGTCTCTTAATTTGTCTAATTTTTGCAGTTGTGTCTCATTTTCATCATTTTGTGTCCTAGTTTTTCCATCTTTTGTAGTTTCGTGTCTTGTCTGTCACGTTCTGTCTTATTTGTGTGATTTTGTGTCTCGTTTTTGTCGTTTTGTGTCTTAATTAGTCTCATTTTAGGTCGTTTCTGTTGTTTTATGTCTCAGTTTCTCATTTTTATCTTTTCTTTTTTAAATCTTAGTTTGTCCTATTTGTGTGTTTAATTTATGGAAACTTACCTTCACACAGCATCAGCAGTAAATGATGTCAGAGCCTGAATCTGTTTGTATTTTATTTATTTATTTTTCTTTATTAACCCACTGCAGTACATTTCAGAGGCAAATGTTGGATTTTTTTACTCTGTTAAACTGATTTAATGTCTTCAGTCACTTTGCAGATTTAGTTTCACATCCAGAACATCCAGATAAATGATGGAGTGAAACGGAGGCTGAACTGAGCAGCTCCGACATGAACGGTGCTGATAAACCTGCTCTGTGGCTGATCTTCACATCTGAGGAGCTCATCCACCAACGTTCAGGTTTCATCCTGAACTTAAATACGCTCCGGGTGGAAGCATGAAGATAGCAATCAGCACAGAGACAGAAACAGGACTCAGGACACGAGAGGAACCAAGTCGGATCGTTTATTTCAAGTTCTGTAAAGTCTACCACAGGTGAGAGAAACATGTCAGTATATGTACAGTGGCAGGCGGGAGGTGGGCATAAATATGGTGGAGCAGGGAAGCAACTAAGACGGACTCATGCGCGGTGAGGTGGGCGTATGTACAGGCTGCACGTGGCCGTTGGGTTAGCTCGCGTTAGCGCCGCCGCTTGTAGCCAAAGGCACGAAATCAGGAAGTAAAAGCTCGCTGTCGGATTAAATCAGTCGTTAAACGCGTCCCGACAGAGACGGTGAGGCGACGAAGCTTCGCTGTCCGCCTCCAGAGAACACTGTGGGAGGGAGCCGGCTGTTGGCGGAGTCGCAGTACGAAGCTGCAGGACGGCAGAAGAAACAAACTGCCTGAGTGCCTCTGGAGGTTTAAGCCACATCCGGAGCACTGTGGGAAACTCCTGAGCCACTCTGGAATCATTGTGGACAAACGGTTTGTAGCTTCTGGACGATTCTGAGCAGAGATGCACGATGTCAACATTTCTGATATCACTGATGTCGATATTCAGCATCAGTAAGTCCTGTGAGAACGTGGAGACCAGATCAGACCACACAGCCTTCTTTACTACAGAAGTAAAACATATTTAAGTCCAGGACCATTCAGGTAAAACATCTGTAGAGACGCTGATGTTGGACAGTCACCGGACCGACACCGGCGTGGTGGCCCATCTATCGTGCATCCTTAACTCTGAGTCACTCTGTTTGACGTTTCGTTGGTTTTGACGAGGTCGCGGTGCTTCTAGACGAAGTTCGAGACACTTCTGTGAGTAAAAACGAGTCTGTAGCTTCATAACTGGAGTCACAACAAACCGGATACTTCGCCTCCCAAACTGTCCTCAGCTTCCTCCGGTGCGTCTGATTGGACGGCCCCGGCGAGCCAGCCGGGCGGAGTTCAGCACCGGGGAGGTCCAACCAGCCGGAGGAGTTTCAGACTTCAGGCGACTTTACGTCGGCGCTACCAGGCGTTTGTTAGCGTTAGCATAAGCCGCAGTAGCGTTTAGTTATCGGAAACACGATGGAAGTTTACAGTGCGACGGAACCCGGGCGGGACTCCTCAGGGTTTATTGCTAATGTCCAAACAGTCCTCCTCTCCGGCACTTGGAACCGTTCAGATTGTCGAAACCTTCCGACGGATCTGAACGACTTCACATTTCGACGGTGGACGCCTCAAAGCGACTCACATTCAAAGCGCTGATCCAAACCTCCTCAGTGGCCTTCAGGTGACAGTGTTCTGGAATGAAACTCACCGTTGGGTCCACGCCACAGCAGACTTCAGATCCACAGGCCCGGTGGTCGTCTCACTACAAAACAACCCACTTTATACGAGTCGCACCAAACCAGACGCTTATCAGCTGATTTCCATTTAAAAAGCAGCTTTTTCTGCCCGTTAAATCATCCAACAGTCAGATTTGGGCTTTTTTTAAAAATTCGGATTGAAAAACGCAAAAAGGTCAAATGTAGAAATCCAGCGAATCGTTAGCCGACGTGTCGCTAATAAAACTTAGCATGGAAGTGAGAACGTCGGTCGTAGCTTCGAGTGTTTCTGATTGTTTCTGCACCTAAACCTCAACGACGGTCCGTGTAGGTTCTGGTCGTTGGATTTTCTGTCCAGAAGAGGAGGAAACTGAGCGGCTGTTTGATTTTCACTTTAAAAGTCCATTTAAATTTGAGGCATTTTTCCTCATCAGGGTCAAGACGAGATGAACAAAACGTTAAAACCTGCTTGAATTTCTCTTTCTGTTTCAAAAAACCAAAAAAGAAGACAGTTTTTTTTTCATATTGTGCAATCGGAAGTTGTCGCTTTCAAAGTAAGAGCGTGTGGAGGACGTTGTTGTGTAACAGAAGTTAGCGGACGTGGATAAAACAATAAAACAGTGTCTCAGGGACGAGGACATGATGCAGAAGAACTAAAAACATCTGATCAGGGAACGCTAGCTACCGGCTAACCCTGCTCTGTGCTATCAGAGGAAGGTCCACAGAAACCACATCGACTGTCACGCTCTTACTTTGAAAACAACAACTTCCGGTTGCACAATATAAAAAAAACGGGTGTTTTTCTTTTTTTTCTTTTTTAGAAACAGAAACAGAAAATCAAGCAGGTTTTAAAGTTTTGTTCATCTCGTCTTGACCTTGATGAAGAAAAATGCCTGGAATTTAAATTCTTGAATTTTAAAATGAAAATCAAACAGCGACTCATTTGGTTTTTAATATCCAATGACCAAAACACACAAAGTGATAACAGCAGAGGTTTTACTGATTGTTCACAAACCAGCATCAGTTCATAAAGTTATTTACCGTCTAAAACACGTCGTTTCATCGACAGATTACATTAAAAACTTTGATTTTTTTGAGACAATCAGATTCTGTAAAAACTAAAAAACTCTTCAGAGTCATTGCAAACGAACTTTTAACGATTTCAGACCAAGTTTGAGTCTTTTTACAACGACGGTTCTGATTAAAGTTCACAGCTTTGTCTTCAGTGTGAAAAGAATAAAAAACAAAACTAAACAGAGTTTATCAGGACGTAACGCAGCGTGAAGTCGCTTCTGACAAACCTTTAGTGTCACACTGAGTTTCATCAGCTTAACCGGCTGCTAAACTGCATCTACCTGCAGCAGGTGTTGTTTTTTAATGACCGTGTGTCTGACGGCGTGAATCACTCCAGCGGCTGCGTGCAGAGAGCTGCTAGCTCGGTGTTAGCTCCACAAACCGTCCTCGTTCAGTCGTTTTTCTTACAAGAGACAAACTACAGTTTCAGTCAACGTGAACAAAAACCAAATGAGGCTGTTTTAAACGGAAATCCATCTGATCAGAGTATCCGGTCCTTCTTTCCTTCTTAAACGCCGGCGCTGACGCCTGCTGCTGCTGCTTGGCCCGATCCGATGAACCTGCTCTAATATACATACGTCTCTGTGTCGTGCTCTAATCATTGGCCCGCCAAATGATCGATCGCAGTCAACGCAAATCAGCTTCACATTTTCCCGACGGCAGAATCTTCTACGCGTTTTTTATCTTCTTTTCTTAATCGTCTTCGGCCTTTCTAAAGACCACAGCGCCGCCGCCGCCTTCTTTCACCGCTCGATACGATTCGAGATGCGTCGTCGGAGAGCCGGAGAACGGTCCGGGATCGACCCAGCAGGCGGGACGAGGCAGTAGTTCAGGAACACAGGTGAGACCTTTACATTCAGTTTACGGTTTGATGTGTCAAAGCAAAACACGGTTCAGACAGTTAAAGGGACTACAAACGGATAAAAACACTGAAGCTACGCGCCGCAGAACCTCTCCTCTCCAGGTCCAAACCCGCCTCGAGTCTTCCACGAGGACGTCCTCACATTCAGTCGGCGACACAAGATGACCTTAAAAATGGTTTCTACGCTTATGTCCGTGGAGGGAAGTTTTAAGGCTCATGACTCTAACGCAGGAGGTTCTTTGTGACACGTCTCAGGACCTCCTTCAGAAACGAGCAGCACAAGCTCCTCCAGACGGCTTCAGCCTCGTCGGGGCCGAAGGAATGAGATGGTCGAGGCGCGAGGCCCGGTCCAACACAGAGAACGATCCCACCGGCGACGGCTGAAGGAATGGAAAGGTGTGGAGGAGGAGCTAGTAGGAGGAGATGTCGGAGGAGCTGCTGCTGTTGCTGGTGGAGGTCTGGGCCCGCTTGATGTACAGGTTGAGCAGCTTCATCTGCAGGAAGGAAACAGCAGCACAGTGACAACACCACCACAGAAGATCCTCACCTACACACGGGTCTGAGTTTGGCAGCCTGAACTGACGTGTACGGTGCCGGTCGGGGTCCAGTGTTCTGGAAACATGACTGAACCTGCCGGGTCAGAACTACACACACAGCCACTGAGTGATCAGTGTTCATGATGTAGAAGGTTGTGTTAAGCTTTGTTAGTGGCCTCCTAACGTCTCCTGAGTGGTTCTGAT